TTATCGTATTCAATCAGATAATCGGGGTGAAAATATGGGTTTTTGAGTTACGATTCTTCATTCTGCTTATTTGATCGTACATTGAATTTACTCGTGCTGCCAATTACTCTTTTGTTGATCTTGGATAAGATAGTTCTTCAATTCTGGTAATTTTTTTATTTGATTGCTGAATTAGGGTTCTCCGTTTTTGTTTACAGATGCAGATCTTTGTTAAGACACTCACCGGGAAGACTATCACTCTCGAGGTCGAGAGCAGCGACACCATCGACAACGTTAAGGCGAAGATTCAGGATAAGGAGGGGATCCCTCGGACCAACAGAGGCTGATCTTCGCCGGCAAGCAGCTGGAAGACGGGAGGACCTTGGCTGATTACAACATCCAGAAGGAGTCGACCCTTCACCTGGTTCTCCGTCTGCGTGGAGGCATGCAGATCTTCGTCAAGACCTTGACCGGAAAGACCATTACTTTGGAGGTGGAGAGCTCTGACACCATTGACAACGTCAAGGCAAAGATCCAGGATAAGGAGGGAATCCCTCCGGATCAGCAAAGGCTCATCTTCGCTGGTAAGCAGCTTGAGGATGGCAGAACCCTCGCTGACTACAACATCCAGAAGGAGTCGACTCTCCATCTCGTTTTGAGGCTGAGGGGTGGCATGCAAATCTTTGTGAAGACTCTGACTGGGAAGACCATCACTTTGGAGGTTGAGAGCTCTGACACCATTGACAATGTCAAGGCGAAGATCCAGGACAAGGAGGGCATTCCCCCGACCAGCAGAGGCTTATCTTTGCTGGAAAGCAACTCGAGGATGGAAGAACCCTTGCTGACTACAACATCCAGAAGGAGCCACCCTTCACCTGGTCTTGAGGCTCCGAGGTGGTATGCAAATCTTTGTGAAAACTCTGACTGGCAAGACCATCACCTTGGAGGTTGAGAGCAGTGATACCATTGACAATGTCAAGGCTAAGATTCAGGATAAGGAGGGCATCCCACCAGACCAGCAGAGGCTCATCTTTGCAGGAAAGCAGCTTGAGGATGGGCGAACTCTGGCCGATTATAACATTCAGAAGGAGTCGACCCTCCATCTGGTGCTGAGGCTTAGGGGAGGAATGCAGATCTTTGTGAAGACTCTTACTGGTAAGACCATCACGTTGGAGGTGGAGAGCAGTGACACCATTGATAATGTGAAGGCCAAAATTCAGGATAAGGAGGGTATCCCACCAGACCAGCAGAGGCTGATCTTCGCTGGCAAGCAGCTTGAAGATGGAAGGACTTTGGCGGACTATAACATTCAGAAGGAGTCCACCCTCCACCTTGTCCTGCGTCTGCGTGGTGGCTTCTAAAGTAGTGGTATTAGTTTGGTGTTGCTGCGGATGTTGTCTGAAGGTTGTTGGATTTAAGATCGGATATTTGAAGTATGTTTTTTAAGTTTCTTGTGTTCGTGAGGTAGCCTGGTGGCTCCTGAAGTTTCAAGCTTAGTTTCTTTCAGTTCTATGTTGGCCCTGGTGGCCTTGTGAACAGTTCTCTCTTCTGTTTTTCTGTTGAATAATAATAGTCAAAGTATTTCGTGTCTATGGTGAATCTCTCTTCATTTATCCTCGTGTAGTTGTGTTGCATTATTTCTGGAGTGCGGATCCGGTGACTAAGGGGGGTGCTTAGTCACTTGACTAAGCCCCTCCTAGCCATTAGATCTGGACACTTCAATCTAATGGTTAAAAAGTGGGAAGGTCTATTTAATTAATGGCAGGGGTAGTTTGGGTATTATGAAAAATTACGAAGTATACAAACCGGACTTACAATCAGTACAAACCATACAAACATACGAACAGTACAAACTAGAGCGACAAAACATACAAACATTACAAACGTATGAACTGTACAAACAATACAAACTAGACTGACAAACAATACAAACCGTACAAAAAGAAAAAAAACAACCGTGTTGACTTTGGAGGCTCCATCCCTATATAGAGGGGCTCCTTCCCAAAGTCAACCCGGGTGTTTTTTAGACATACAAACAGTACGAACATGGTGGAAAAAAATGACAAACTAGACCGACAATCCATACGAACTGGAAAAAACACCCGGGTTGACTTTGGAGGCTCCATCCCTATATAGAGGAGGTCCATCCAAAAGTCAACCCGGTTGTTTTTAGACATAAAAAACATTACAAACATGGTTGACAAAAATAACAAAGTTTACAAACATGGTGCACAAAAATAACAAAGTGTACAAACATTAAAAAAAACCGACAAACATTACAAAATAACAAAGTATACAAACATTACAAAATATGTCAACAAACATCACAAAATTAGCACTATCGCCGGAAAATTCTTCTCCGGCGACGATGTTCGTCGGAAAAAATTTTCCGACCAAAGTCTCTCTGTGGGACGAAGTAAAAAATAAATGGCACTGGTAGGAACGCCTCCCTCTCTCTGACGAACCAAAAAAATAAATGCCAGTGGACGAACCAATAAATGCGCCGCCGGGAAATTTGACCGGCGAGGAGACCCGGCGAGGAGACGGGCTGGACCGCCGGGGTCGGTACTGTTGGATTTTTTAATTATTAATTTCTGAAAATAAAATAATCATGAATCATGTAATTACTACACTACCCTTCATTAAATTGAATTAATTAGAGCCATTGGATTTTAATGAACTTGAAAGGCTAGGATTAACTTAGGCAAGTGACTAAGGGGACCCCCCTTAGTCACCTGATCTTATCCCTTATTTCTGCAACTTAGTTCTAGTCCTTTAGAATCTATACTAGTGTGGCCCCCGGCCAGTTGGCCGGAGGAAGGTGAGGTAGGAAATTTGATAATGTAATGGGGTGTATAGTTTATTGTTGTATAGTTTTTTTTGGGAAACACGTGATAAAAATAGTGAATTTTAGATGGAAAGAGACATGAATGATGCAATGAATCAAAAATCGGCCTTATGAACCAAAATCAAGTACATGTTACCTTGTGAAACAATATTTTTTCTGGTAATATGATGAGGTGGAGTAAGTTTTATAGAAACCGAATTCCAGAAAATTGAATAAAAAATCGCCTATCCCGTCGGTTTTCGGGAAGTGAGCATCTCACAATCGTTGCTAGCTTTTACTCGGCCCGTTGGTCGATTAATTTGCTTTATAAAACTTTCATTTTGTCGTCATTGTGCTTTCTGGTTTTTGTTAGCCATGATAAAATCTAAGGAAATCAAGAACGAACAACACGATTTGGGATAGGAACCGTCGTTGTCGTATCCTTAGAAAATGGTGGTAAACACGGACTCCTGCCAAACTGGTTTGGATTGAGATTTTTATCGGGTATCAGGGAACCATGTGATTATAAATTAGACTTGAGCAAAACGGGCCAAAACTTGAAATTTAGCCTGTTTGACCGACCCATGCCAAATTCTAATTATTCTTTACTTTAAACTTTCTATTTGAAAATAAGAAATAGTGAAAGAAAAGAGATGACTGCAATTCGCCATTTGCACATCACTTATTCAGGAATAAAACCATAAAAATTCAAAGGAACTGAAAATGTTTATGATCGTTTAATGTTTAAAATAACCAAATAGATCGTTCTGTTAGTTTTTTACTAACAAATACCAAACGATTCCCTATAAAATACACTATAATTTGATCATTATGATATCAAATAATTATATAATATATATTTGAAATTATAAAAATTGGACTAATTGGGTTGGTCGAGGTTGAACAATTGAATAACTTTAAAATACATTATATTTAGCCACTAAGATATAAAATAATAGCATAATATATATTATGACAGAGAAAATAGCTTGTTTTAGAATGACAAACCAATGATGTTCATTTGTTTTACTTGATGGTCAAATCCCGTGTAGGTCAGACCCATTGAACTCTTTTATTTTATGGTTACCGGTTAGCCCATTAGATACCATGCATTAGTTTATTGTTAAATTTTTTTATTTTTAGCAATAAAAACGAGTTTTGTTTTTGCCTTTTCATATATATTTTATCACCACGGAGAAATAAAAGGGCTTAAAGAAAAAAAAGTGACACTCTTGTACCCGTTTAAATTCGCATGTGTACGGTAAGTTGGCCCGTTCCACAGAGGAAAAAGAAAAAAATGGACACTCCCTATTCTACCCTTCCTACAAACCCTCCTGGAGCAGAGAATTTGAAATGGGAGAAGGGTTTTTTCCTCGCTGCTATTATATGTTTTTAATTTAAAAATATACAACAAAAGTACTTAGTGTGATTGGTTATGATCTTTGCTTTCCTTTAAAATGGTAATGGTTCGTATCCCAGTATGTGTCTTTTTAATGAATAAAAAAAAGTAATGTGAAGACCAAAATGTCCTTCCTACTTTCACTCTCGTTGCAGGAAATTTGAAATGGGGCTCCCGTTTTTCCCTTCGGTGTATTATATTATGTGTAGATCATTTGAGTTGCTTCTTCTTTAGTTTTGTTCTCAGTTTGCCATGCCAGCAACCTCTTCGAACCGTGACTTGATATATACTGTCAAACTTCAAACCAAACACCTCCTAATGCTTCTAAAGCTTAGGTTACACAATCTGAATGGAACTAGTATCTCGAAACCTCAGGAAATCGTTCCAGACAGCACCAGTATTATCGTCCATCCAAACTTGACTATCAAATTTTGCAGCGATCTTCTCTGGCATTGTAGTTGTTCTCACCTCTGCTAATGACGGGAAAATCTTTAGCTTTTGGTTATAGAACACATCTGCGGCCTCGAAAACTAGCATGTTATTGTCAAAATGCCACTATCCTCCATAGATTATCCATCCCCAAAAGCAGAAACACAAGCATGTTACCAGGGTCTGTAACTTCATAAACTACATAAGAAAGAAAACGTTTGCATCAAGAAAGCTATCTACACGATGCAAAAACCCCATCAGGAAGAAGATTACACATTACACACGGAAGTAAAAACTCGTACACACATCTACATCTCTGTAGTTACTTGACTAGAAGGCTTCCTCCTCTGTTTCCGACCAAACCTTCTATGGAACAACATCCTCATTTAGGCTGGCAGCAGCAACCATGGAAGCAGCTACTCCAGCCGGATTCGTCGACAGCGTCGGGTTGTTCCTCATCTCCGCACTCGTCACTCCTTCCGCATCCTCTCTCGTCACCACTTTATCCGCCGGCAACTTCCCTGCTGCATCTGAAAATTCCCCAATTTCCCTGAATTAGTTCCAACAAGTCCCCATCTTTCTATACCCTATAAAAAAAAACCAATTACCACTTAAATCAGAACCCCTAATTATACCCAGAGCACATCATTGAGCTTGATCTTCTCCTCGTCCCTGTCCGTCGCAGCATTGTGCGTCGCCGCCGACTGCGCCGTCGCAGCAAGCCCGCCGGGAACCGTAACGCTGCTCCCTGTCGCTCTCGTCTCCGCCGCCTGAATCGCGGCGGCATCGCTCTGATCCACCGGCCTATCTCCAGAAGTCCTCCCGGTCGCCTCCAGCGCTTCCCCAATTGTAATCGCATTCTGCGCCGCCACAACTCCACCGCCGCCGTGGACGGGAGCTGGCTGGACGAATTGCCCCAAAACCTGACCGCCGACGCTCTCGGTGATTATCCGGGCGCCCGGGATGTCGGTCTCCGACACCATCACGCCTTCGCTGCTCACGGCATCGGTGGCCTGGCGGTGAGCAACGAGGCCGGCCCTCTCGTTGAACGTCGCGGCGGATTGCATCGCGGCGGCCGGACCGCCCTTCTGGGTCTGTCCGAAGACCATGGTCTCGGCGCTCTGCATCATGTTGGCGTCTTCAGGGGCGATTGGCTTGGACGCGAGGTCCCCGAGACGTCGAAAACGTCGCCGTATCTGATTGGATCGAGTTCCTCCTGCCCTGCCGCTGCACCAAATTGCTGCTGGTCCGGCCTTCTTGGCTGTCCCTGACTCATCGTATTACGAAAGGCTGTAGCTATTCTCCGTGAAGAGAAAACTCTGCTAACAGGACAGACTGTTGAGGTTTGGGAATTTGAGATCGATGGATTGGATTGGATTCTAGTGTACGGACATTGGAACTGAGCTATATACAAGGAAGGTAGCGGTGACGTGTCGAGAGAAGGAGCGAGGTGGTGTGCCTTGTCATGGTACACGTGGCGAGGTTTGGGAGATGCATGATGCTGCTGATATTTTCTGAAACTGGCTCTGGGAATTGTCGGGTGGCATCAATAGTTCCCACGTGGCAAGTAGGGGTTTCTGGCTTAGCTATGACCTATGAGATGTTGGCCAGCAACGTAAATGAGCTCCCTCAGTTACGTAGGGACAGTTGGAAGTCAAAGGGCGGTGGCTTTTAATGGTAATAAAAGAAGTCTCATTTGACGAATGAGATTATGAGAAAGAGAGAGCCTTCTGCTTAATTGGCAACTCAGTCTTGATTAATTGGTATTTAGTAAATAAACATCATGATTTAATTAGACTTCTAATAATATTGTTAATCTAGTCTATTCATTGGTCAACGGCTACATACAAAGTGAAAATAAAGGCTGATCCTTGTAGCATGAAATTCTAAAACCCAATTGTTTGATTTGGAATGCCTTTTTAATGAAATTTTGATTTAGCCATAAAAAAGTTCTAAAAAGTTGGTCTAAGAGTTCTATAGACCAAGGTTGTCAACCCGCGGGTCGACCCAGTTTGACCCTGACCGATGAGAAAAACGGGCCGCACACACTGCCGGGTCGACCGCTATAAGGTATCAGGTTGGAGGTCAAATGTGTCATTTTTTCCTTTGATTTTCGAAATGCGCCTATTTTCCGAATTTTCTTTTCACCCAACTCAATCTTTGGAATCCTAAGTTGAACATTTGAACATTTATGTTATATAAGTGTGTGAATTTTCATTATATGTTGGATCTAAGTACGATATATTATTTGGTGTAATATTATATGTTATAACTCATATGTTAGATAAGATTTGATATAATTTATGAGGATAAGTACAATATAATGACTTTTTCCATATTTCCGGGCCAAACCGGCTAAAACGATTGACCCATTAACCCTTGACCCACTAGCTCGACCGGGTCTGGGTTAACCCCCGGGTTGACAACCTTGCTATAGACTCGAGTATATTAATTAATTAATATATAAAAGTCTAGGTTGTGAGTTACTATTCATTAGTGACTCTCACACTCCTTCAAGTGCAAGTGAAGAAGTTTCAATTTCTCTTACCACATTTCTCCATTCTACAACCATTAGGTTTAGCTATTGTTCGCTAGGTTTATATCTATTGTTGATTGTGTTTTCATAACAATAATTGCCTACTAGGTTTCCAACTCCCTATTACAGCAACTAACCACTAGGTTTAAGTCTATTGCTTTTTTTTTTACAAATCATCGTCTTTGTCTATCATTTCGCTTTGCGAGAACAGTAACAAAATTGGTCTAAGATTCCTCCATTACCTCTTCGATGATGGTTTTCTGAAAGTCCTTTCTTTGTCTATCATTCGCTTTGCAAAAACTATTTACTTGTATTATAAGCATTTTTTAAAAATTTCCAAAAACATCCAATAAATTCATCTAATGACGATTACAAGGATAATATTCGAGTAAAAATGAATGGATTAGTTTAGTTATGATTTGTATCATTATATTAGTCATATGGTAGATTGTGAACAAATTTTGAAATTTAACGATTACTCCACTTCTAGACCAGAGGGCACATGTTGCACTATTATTGTGATACATGATAAAATACATATTTAGTTTACCGTTGTTTTTGTACATGTTGAAAATAACAACTCGTCCTTTTTGATTGACACAATGTCAAATCTTCCCATCGATGCAACCGTAAATCACGAGTCTCATACTAAGCAATTAGAACAACAAGACTTGGTAAACGCTATTTCCCTAATACATACATCTACCATACCTTTCTCTTTGTTGAAGTTTTTCCCTTTGATCCCAACTTTACGCCAACTCTTTCTCTCCAACACCATTTCAATGCCTTGCTTGCTATAAAGCCATCCAATTCCAAATCTCCAATGGATTCTCTTTCTTTCTGTACTTACTTGGTCGATTTTCCGAGAAACTAACGCTCGTATTTTCTCTCTCGTTCTCTCCCTCTTTGAAGATCGACTCGCGAGTGATCTCCTTAGAGGGAGGGAAAATACATGTGAGGAGCTAGACATAGAAAATGGAACCCCCAATTAGAAACTACCATACCCTAACTTTTCCAACATTCGAGAAGCCGCCATTGGATTCCGGTGGCAGCCGTCATCTTCGAGAAGGCGTAGGGTTGATTCTTTCTCGATGGAGGGCACTGCAATTGGCTGTTCAGAACCAATGGGGAGGCCATGATTCCCTTCAGAAGTCCCACCAACTAGCAAATGACGTCTTGTGTTGGTTTTTACATTGCAAGGGTCAGCCTAGCTACAACATTTTATTGTATTCTGCAATCTTACTTATAACCATCCTCGATGCAACGATTTGACTCGACATTTTCCCCCCCCTCACAGGCCGGCTTCACGTGGAGGATCTCGAGAATTTGTTGCATGAGAATCTCCTGCTGAATTTCAACACCGAGATCGAAGACGGCAGCATTGAGGAAGTGGCAGAACAGCTGATGGTGATGTACGAAGAACACTTGCACAAGAACCATTATCACAAACCCTAATTTAAGGTTTCGATAATACGAGTTTCAGCTGCTAGATCAGACGATGCCATGCGTGCTGGCCTGATGATATCTTACGTTGTAGCAGGACGATTTTTTTATTATAAAAGATCTCAATTTTTGTAATACATGATGTCGCTTCGTGATGAATCTGGGCCGATCGAGTGATGTTTAGATGAAATACGGCCGGAATGCCGGATGTATGTATACTTCTAAGGTGATGTGATTCATCTCTCATTGAACAAAATCATATCCGTTTAAATGATGATCATGGTATCCAATCCATTATAACAAAACGTCAGACATTGGATTTCTTCGGATGACGATGATTTACAGTTTATGGGGACTCAATCATTGTTTGGTGAGAGCACTGATATTAGCTACGAAGATCATTAATTGATGGAGGTTTCCTAACAGCCTGTTTGGAATGATTAAATTTATGGGAAATGGAATTCTATTTCCTTCTTTTGAATCAATTCTTCCGTTTGGATAGTATATTGTGTTGGAAATGGAAATCATTTCTACCAAAACTCAGGAAGTTGAAATCCGGCCGAAATGGTCAGACTTGTCCACAGAAGCAATGGAATTGATGGGACCCACTACTTTAATGATATTAAATCCCAAAAAGCCTGCATGCAATTGGATCTCTTTTCTCCTCAAGCCAATCTTGGTATCATTTTCATAAGAATTGGGCCCACTACTCATAACTTTACTTGAAAAATAAAATTCGCACAAAAAAATATAATTCATTTCCTGAATTGATGGAATTATACCAAACACAAGAATTGAAATTGGAATTCTAAAAATACTAGAATGGAAATGAAATATATTTCCAATTCCATTGGAATTCTATCCAAACAGGCCGAGTTACTACTAGAAATAGGAGGAAATTTACCGTATGTCACCTAATTAATCTAAGGCTCCTTTAGAACAGTTTTGTTACCGTGTGGTTCGCAGACTTGCATTACCATTGTGACAATAGAAGTACAATCACAACATCATGAACATGAAAAAAAATAAAAATATTAACACGTCTATTGATAATTTTGTGAAATTATGATAGTTAGAACTTTTTCTGTGCTTAGTTAATTAATAGGCCCCGCTTAGTACCATTGTTGAGAGTAAAACAAAAAAACAAAAATAATTCGAGGATAAGAATGGTATGGTCTGGTCTCGACCAATATAATCCGTACAGTTTTTCAGCCCTAGAGATACATTTTCGTTCCAATTTAGACCCTGAAGATACAGCGCATTAGTTGACGCGTAATTTTTGGGAAAACCATTTTGTGTGTGTGTACCAGTTAGTCAACTGAGAAAATGACTGAGATTAGGGTTTCCTAAACTGTGCGTTGAGAAAACAGATGCAAGCTCCCCAATGATGATTTGACAAGGTTATGTTCTCCCCTTGAGATGTTGATTGCCAAATGCCAGGGACTAAGGGAGTACTGTAATATCCTTATCCGCCATTGTGCTAATTGATTCCAAACTTTATGGTTGTTTATGAGAACCCTCCCTATATCATAACAGATAATAAGCTTCTGATTCCATTTCCATCTCTGTTAAGAAAAATAACTCAATGCCCAATTGCCACCACCCGGATTTCAGTAAATGCTTTCACAACCACCTTTGATTCCTTCCATCATGCATTACCCCAAATGAGTAGTGACAATCCAACAACACTCAGTCCAACCTAAAACACAGGCCAGGTCTAAAGTTTGTTCATTTTCTATCAATGGCAAAACCTCTACCAAACTCAATACTTTTTTTGGAAATCCCTCCATTTTCAGGCTGCAACCCAACCATCAGCAATGCTTTTCAAGAGAAAACCCAATTTCCACGCAACCCCAACTCTTCATAATTGCTACCACCAACCTTGCCTGTGGAGTCTACCAATACTGAAAGTTGCCAATCGAATGTCCTCCCGGGCAACTGGAGCAATAAGGGAGGCATTCATCGATGGCAAAACCAACCCCGGAAGTAATAGTCGGCTACAAAGTCAAAGCAAGGGACAGCTTCAGATAGGAAAAGATGAACAAAAAAACTGAACTGCAATACCACCCATGCCCAAGTCGTCAGAAGTGAACCATCCGTCGTCGTCTCGAAGGAGCAAAATCCTATTCTTCTCCTGCGTTGTAATGTTGTGAGATGAAAGAAGCGAGTATTGGAATCTCCTTCTGTTAAATAATGAACCGAGATTTTGTGCCAATACAATTCCTGCAAAAATGCTTCAGATAATTGTTGCTAAAAAAACAGAGATAAAGCCCAATCAAAATTAGGTTTATTTCGTTCCACTTGAATAGCATCTTGGAGTTCACGGATTGCCCGAGCCGAGTTCGAAGTTCCTTTTAAGGACCAGTTAAAAAGGCTATGCGTAGCTGATTTCAAAGTGGAATGTAATTTGAACTGCGAGTACCACCATACTACGAACTCCATCGAGATACCAAAATCTCCTCTGCCTCAGAATTGGAAAGCCAACGACAATCAAAATGAAAATTAGCCTTCGTTTGGCAGCAGAGGCATGAAACAACAACAAAATCATCCTATGATCAGAACCAAGGTCAGAAAGATGAAGAACCTGCAAACGAGGCCAAAGCGTAGATGCCAAGGGAGAAGCAAAGCCACGATCCAAACGCTCCATAATATGTTCAGAAGGCGATCGACGATTAGACCACGTGAAAGGTGGTCCTTGAAATCCAAGATGCTGTAAAGAAAGATTAGTCGCGAAAGATTGCAGCGGGGCCAAAGCCGCCGGCGTAGGAAATGACACCTTGCTTTTCCGAAGAAACACATGAGACAATTGAAATCACCTATTACTAAGAAAGGAATAACAAGCGACGAGGAGAGCAACCTTTATTTCATTCAATTGCACCAAACGAGTGCTCTCATTAGAATCCAGGTGAACAAACACCAACACAAATTGACCATAAAACAGAATGAAAACATTCTACGAACATAGAAGCTTGAGACTTTGAGGTAACGTGCAAGAGACCTTCGAAGACCAAGCAACTACGAAACCCCCAGCAGTATTTACAGGACTAACGAGGTCATTATTCGGGAAACCAAGACGACAAAGACGCGAAACAACTTTTTATCACGACACTTCGTTTCACAAAGACACACAATTATCGGAGAACGACAATTGATAGTGGCAAGCAGCGCCTTACGAGCCAGGGCCTTGCCGAAACCCCGACAATTCCAAAAGAGAATAGTCATGACACCAATTGGGACCGGATTGGGCCGGTGTCCTCCACCCATGAGCATTTGCAGCCAAAGCAGAAGGTTCAGCAGATTCCACACACTGAAACTTGGAATTGGAAGGAAGCATTTCCTCCTATGGTTGTTTATGAGAACCCTTCCTATATCAGATCAGATAATAAGCAATCTGATTCCTTTCCCTGTAAGTAAAATCATTCAATGCCACACCCAGATTCAGTAAATGCTTTCACAACCACCTTTCTTCACTCTCTCACAAAATTATTCCTTCCATCATGCATTACCTCAAAAGTCAAAATGAGTGACAGTCAAAACTCAAAACACCTGGCCAGGTCTAAAGTTGTTCCATTTCCTATCAATGGCAAAACCTCCAAACCTCATCCTTTTCTGGGAATCCTTCCATTTCAGGAGGCACCCGCTATCAACAATCCTTTTCAAGAGAAAACCCAATTCCACACGCAAACCCACTCTTCATAATGCTACACCAACCTCTCGTCTTCACCACAGAAGTTCACCCCTCATAGATTAAATCCTCCAAAACCTTAGAACTTCACTTCCTCAGGTCATAATTTCCTCCCCGCAAAGAAATGGCTTTGGGTTCTTCAGCAACCAATTTAGCCGCTGCAATGGCACTATCCTTCTTCATCTTGCTCGCCGCTGCTCGCACATCCTCCCTGTTCCACCCTCGTCCTCTGCTCCACCGCCGCTCCCTGACGACGATGATGTAATCACACTAAAGGATAAGAAAACGGCCTATCTAATGCCGACATTGGTCTTGTTCGTGTTCATTTGTCTCACCTGGCTTGTCTTTGTATACGGGCGGCGGCTCCAACGGAAACTGTTCTCAAGGTTCAGGTACTGGTGCTGCTCTGTTTTCCGGCGCAAGAACTCTGCCTTTTTACATTCTGATGATTTCTGGCCTATAATACATTTTTTCAGGTTGTGTTGTCTGCTAGAGCTGGTGACACAGGCCGTGTGCTCCGCGACATATTTGCAAACACTAACAGACCAGAGTCTATAACATCATCGAAGTTGAAAGGTTGAGATGTTTGATTTCCGCTTAATAAATCCTCTGTTTCCAGCCCAAACAATTTGGCGGCTACTAATAGTCGCAATTCTCTTTGCAGAGACCATAAATGCACTGTTGGAGCACCAAAGCAGCTTCATCTATGGCTCTTCTACATCCGTGTGAAAGTAAAAAAATCAGAAACTGATATGGATCATACGAGGATTCCTTTTGTGTTTTTTGTTTGGTCTTACCAGCTGAACATAAACTGTTTGGCAGGGGAAAGCCCTCGGATGGTTTTGGCCTCTGAAGGGAATGGCGAGGGAAGAAGAGAGAAAGCTGAGAATTGAACGAGAGTATGTCTATAATTATCAGTTGGTTCCCAAGTTAGCGCCCAAACAGGACAAAGATTACACTGTGGTGAGTTCTTCTTCTTCTTACAGGTCTTGAAAGGGTTTTCCTTGTTCCTAAACTGGTTGTGACGCCATACACAGGTGGTGATTATGGTGCATGCTGCGGGTGATCATAAGCCCAGCGGTCAGTAGTAGCGTGGATGTGAAAGAAGCTCTCAACTATCTGGAAACCAAGTTGTTCTCCAGAGTTCTGGTGATTAGTCTCAACTGTGAACTTGTGTTTGAGTGTGCGATTACGTTTGATTTGTCACTAAATTATGTTTGCTGTTCTTCTGGTTTTTGTTTGGTTATGCAGGGCGTGGAGGTAATGTGGGCTTACCAGGATCCTTTGCGAATTGTGGAATGCTTGATAGCTATCCAGATCTGAATTCATCCTTGCTTGAATTGTGATGATGCAAATTAATTAATTAATTAATTACTACCGCTCTCTGAGTCTTTGTACTAGCTGATGCCTGTTTTTATAGTTGAGGGTTTATGTCAGATTGCTCTAACTGATAAATGAAGTAAGGAGATATTAGGTAGGGTATGCGTAGGATTATAATGAGTATTAAAGTAATAGGCGGGTTGGTATTTGCAATTGTTAGAACGAATGAATTATATTCTATGTTTAAGTGTGTATATTTTATTCCAATATTTGGTAGTTGTGATTGCAGTTATTTTTTTTTCGTTGAATGAGTTACCCTTTGTATTAAGTAACGAATTGCAAATTAGCAATTCAAAAGATACAACGAAACGGGGGCACCATAGTGGATCCCCAAAGGAAAGAAAAATAGAGTAAAAAAAAAAGAAGAACTTCCAACCCAGCCACTACACTCAACTACTACTGCAGACTAACAGCCTCAAATCCCGCGCATCACCTCACTAACTACATCTGCTTCTCGAGGGACCTCAGCAGACATCGCCTACACGCTCTGCCATATATAGTGACTAAAAGACACCATTTAACACCAATCGCGCGATGTGGAGAACGTTGCACTGCTGCACAGACTGCCTGCACA